TGCTCAGATGCCTCCAGCGACAGCCAGACGGAAGGGGCTGGCTGATCCCTCCCCACCAACTCCTCTCAACAGCAGTGGGTCCTGTGTCTGCCTCTGCTTCTGGTTGACCACCCCAAAATGTGCTGCTCCCAACTGGCTAGGCACTAGAGCTCCTTCAGCAGGTCCCCTGTGTGGCAGTCAGCTTTACAGCTGTGCTGTGTTGCAGCCAGGGTTCCAGATATGGGAGCTGCAATCTTCTTGTCTGGGAGTGGTGGAGGATGTCTCCCATGACTGAGCCACACTTGAGTCACAGTGACCTGGCTCCTAGAAGTCTAGAAGTCTCCTTCCTGCTGCTAGGCTGGAGTGGACACAACCAGAGGCAGAACCAGGGTGTGCAGTGGAGTGGTTGCTCTTCCCTTCCACAGTGAAGGTCACCTGCTGGTGGCTCCACTTCCCCATGGCCCCCCCTGTCTGGGTCCCCTTCTGTGTTCAAGGCATGGCTGGAGCCTTAGGCTAGACTAGGTGCATCCTTCTCTTCCAGGAAGTGTTTGACCGCCTGCACATGATGTACACGATAGGCTACTCCATCTCCCTGGCCTCCCTTCTTGTCGCCGTGAGCATCCTATGCTACTTCAAGTAAGGAGAGCCCTCCTTTTTATTACCCTTGAACCCCCTGCACCTGCCCACTGTGCTGGGGGCACCCTGTCATGACTGGCTGGTCAGCAGGAACAGGCTGCCAGTGCAGATCAAGGGAAGCCCAGCACAACTCTAAGGCCAGATCACTGGCTTAATCTTTCTATATTTCTTGTGCAGTTAGGCCCTAACCAGAGCCCCAGATTAAGACCCTGCTTCCTGGGGGAATCAAAGTTCAAATCCTCACTCAGACTAGGCTTTTATATGTGGGGCTAGTGTCTGCAGCAGATGGGATGTGATGGCAGTGTGGTTGAGAGACATAACAGAGTTGCATGCCCTCGGTTATGCTACTGGTGGTTAATTAGTCTTGCTTGGCTCCAGGGGTGAGTTTGAGCCTTGCCCTGGACTCAAGATGAAGGCTGTCTCTAGGTGACCCAACATACATGGGCACCTAGTCACTGCACTGGGGAGTCAAAAGCATGGATGTGATGCTTTCCTGAGTGCTGTTGGCTGCAGGAGCTGATGCCTTTCGCCACATTTGCCTGATGGGCAGCTGGGCTTGGGCATAGCTTTATTTTATAATAGGTCAGAGCTGAGTCCTCAGAACTGACCCCTCATCCCTGGAAAGGTGCTGAACCCAAGTCTTATGGTTTGTGCAAGGGGCATGTGCTTGCTTGCCACACCTGACCTCTCCTCTGTCCTGGGCACAGGCGCCTACATTGCACACGAAACTACATCCACATCCACCTCTTCATCTCCTTTATCTGCCGGGCTGTGAGTATCTTTGTGAAGGACGTGGTTCTGTATTCTGGCTTGTTGCCTGAGGACCTGGAGAAGATACGCCTTGAAGATCTGGAGAGTGAGTTGGTCCCCGTGGCAGGACACCAGACCCAGCTGGCAAGTACCTGAAGAGTCACTTCTCTTTCTCCCAGAGGATAATGACCAGGGGCTGGGAGTGGAGGGAAGTTAGGAGCCTTGGTGTGTTTCTGACCCTGAACTAAGGTGAAGTGCAGCACAGTTTCTGATTGCAACAGAAACCAGGGCAGCCCTGGGAAGACTTAGAGCAGCCCTGAGGGTGCCTGGGCTGTACTGCTGTAGGGTCATGCCAGAGATTGCAGAGGATCACTTTCTAGTACCACCCGGTATTTTCCTGGGCCTGAGGGATTTCTCCCTGGCCTCAGAAGGTCCATTGCTCTGTTGCAGGCTGGGGCAGGGGAAGTCTCTCCCTAGAAGGCAGAGATGTGGCAGGGTATATTTTTGCAAGAGAGGGGTGGGGTGGGATGTAGCCTCCACACTGATTTTGCAGGGACAGCATGGTTTAGCTCAGCAGCCTCCTTGCTCAGCAGCAAGCTGCCCTTCAGAACAGGTCTAAGCCTGGCTCAGAGAGAGGAACAGATAGCTAAGCAGCCCTGGCATTTCTAGTTAAAAGAAGCACAGAACATGCATATTATCCCAAGAAAGCTATGACTACATGACTAAGCTGAGATGACTTGGTAGTGATTGGGTTGCAGGCTCCTTTACCACATGTCCATGCTGAGCATGCTAAGTGCCACGCTGGATCTGTGCAGTCCCCTCCCCATCTCAAAAGCCTCTTGGCAAGTAGGACCTTCTGTTCCCTCCTGGAAACTCCTTCCTTTATGTGAGCAGGAGACACATTCTCCCATGTAGAAAAGTGAAAGGTCAAAGCTAGAATAATGATCTTTAGGGATCCCAGGGGGTGATGCTGAAGTGCTCCTGTCCCTGACAATTCCTGTTCCTTCATCGCCACAGGTGGGCTGCAAGGTGGTGGTAACTCTTTTCCTCTATTTCCTGGCCACAAACCACTACTGGATCCTGGTGGAGGGTCTCTACCTGCACAGCTTAATCTTCATGGCCTTCCTCTCTAATAAGAACTACCTGTGGGCCCTCACCATCATCGGCTGGGGTAAGCACAGATCCCGCTCCATGAGCACAGGCCCCTGCCAAGCTGACTACCAGGGAAGCTGATAGCTGTATCCCATACAATAGTGATTCTCAGCCAGGGCTCTGTGGCACTTTGGGTTACCATGAGATCCTTTGAAGGGTGATACGCAATAGGTGAGCACTGCTAGGTGAGCAAACACCAACATATGATTCACCAGATAAACCCAAGTAGGAATCCATAGTGCTAAAACCATTCTGACCTGCTGTGATCTCTTTGATTTCTTTGGAACAGAGGAATTGCTTATTTTTCTGTAATTAAAAAAATGAGTGAAAACTAAGAGCTGTGCCTTGAGTCTAGCAAGAGGGGTGCCTGGGGGCTAAAGAACTTGAGAAATGCTGCCATGCAGTGTGCATGTCATGTAGTTAGGCTACTCTGATTCTAGCCAGTAGATGTTACTGCTTACTAACACCCAAGCATGGGTGCATTGTGCAGAACTTATGCTCCAACCCTATTGCTTGCTCTGCTTCCTTTCAGGTCTCCCTGCTGTGTTTGTGTCTATCTGGGCCAGTGTCAGGGCCTCCCTGGCAGATACACAGTACGTACGTTCAATTTATTTTCTCAAGAAGTGTTTGGGTGGGGAGGGGGAGAGGAAGGGGACTATTTGTTGGCTGCATAGTGGGGGCTGTAACTCTAGCTGTGGGATCAACCTTCTTCCATCCAGGTCCACCTGAGACAAAGGTCAGGGGGAGACATCGACTGGATTTTATTCTCTGCATTTATTTGGGTTTCCCTCAACATTTTTTACTGGTTTCCTCAGATGCTGGGACCTCAGTGCTGGGAATCTGAAGTGGATATATCAAGTCCCTATCTTAGCAGCCATTGTGGTAAGAACCCTCTTGCTGAGCTGTCCTCACTCCAGTGCCAACTCCCCAAGTCTGTCCAAAACACAACCGCCTGGATCCCATAGAAATGGCACATGAACTCCTCTTTCCATGGTAGTTCTCAGGCATTTACTAGAGCAAAGGTGGCCAACCTGTGTCATGCATGCCACAACTGGCATGGGCAGCTGCTATGTGTGGCCTGCAACCCCCTGGTGTTTAGTAAATGGAGATGCCTGGAGGCAGGCAGGGAGCACAGCCCTTTGTGGAAGAGGAGGGACAGGAGACTGCTGTGAGAGGTGAAGGTGTTAACCCCTCTCTGGCCCTCTAGCCATTGAATTCAAGTGTTAGATCCTCACTCACCATGTAAAACAGAGGTGGTTGTGGGTTAACTTGGCTTTTGGCAGGGGCATCTCCTCTGGCAGCAGTGTCATCCCTCAGCTCTGTACAAGTGAAGGCTCAAGCCCCCCTGCCTCCATTCAGGCATCCCAGGGTGCAAGCTGTATCAGCCACACCACTGGGGAGTGGGGACCATAGTGGCACACCTGCCAAAGCAGGAAATTTGCTCAG